TAATGAACAACAAATTTGAAAAATACAACATAAGTTGTGGAATTAATATATTTATTATGATCTTTGCTTTTGAGTGGCTGGCAAATGTAATTTTTTTTAGCCATGAACTACAATGCAATTAAAGTGGAATTAAGCATGAGTCTAGTCAACCAGAAAACATTGCAGTTCTCCAGAAGAAACAGCAAATCTGCTCGTGCATTTCATCTTACAGGTCATTGCTCAAACTTGAGCTGAGAGATCTCCAAATATAACATACAATTAAACAAAAACAGACAATTTCCCCAAAAAAATTGATCTTTTCAATATCCTGCCTATCTAATATTATTCCTGTGCAATTCACAATTGATTGAATATTAAATATTAGCAATCACAAATTGCTAAATATCTCAAACTGCTGAAGCAATTTTATGAATCATTTTATACGAATAAGCACAGCATTAAGAAATTTCAGATTTCATCAACAACATTAAGCCATTTTCTGTATTGACAATAAATGTTAAAAGCAGGCAAATGGTATGGGTGTTTTGGGTGGGAGGGGATGGAAGTGGCTTATTTAAATTATTACTTTCATAACTAGTTATTTACTTCAAACTGAGTGTGTAGGTAAACTTGAGCACTGGGATCTGTTTCCATTCAAATTCCAGCCTTTACTGTTCACAGTCTATGGGTTATGGAGCATCGAAGGCATGTTTTACAATAACGGTCCTACCAGTTATTATTTTATTCATGTAACTTTTACAGCTTTCAGTGTAATGTCCCGATTAGTCTTCTCGGTGACAACAGCTATGTTTATAAACCCTTTGGAAATTGAGGTTTTACATATTTCATTTGTTTGCATGTGTCTCGAATGCACGAATGAAAAGTGAATATTGTTTTATTTAGGTGACTAATCAAGATAGGGTATCCGAAATTTTCAAGAAAGCCATGACCGTGCTCAAATTTGAACCCGAGCGTCCTCAGGATTTTGATCTCGCACAGATCATTGAATCAAAGAAAGGTGAGCAGTGGAAATTGCATCAATTTAGGCTCAATCTATTTCTGAATGGCATAAACACTGCAAGGGAATTGATATTTCCTTCTGATTTCACCAAAAAGCTGAAAATATTTAAATTTGTATAATTGAACATATCCAACTATGTTCAGCAGGATTCAACTCTGAGGAATGTAAAGCCAATAAACAGCTAATATCTGCACCTAATAAAATTATTAGGTGCACCTAATTTCATCTGATTGCCCTCAAGCCAAAAAAAACCCAAAGAACTGCAAATACTGGAAATCAGAAACTGCTGGAAAAGCACAGCAGGTGTGGCAGCACTTGTAGAGAGAAATCAGGGTTAATGTTTCGGGTCCAGCAGCCCTTCTTCAGAACCACTTAACATAGAACATAGAACAATACAGCACAGTACAGGCCTTTCGGCCCACGATGTTGTGCCGAGCTATTATCCTACTAAGATCAATCTATCCTGCATACCCTACATTTTACTATCCTCCATGTGCCTATCCAAGAGTCGCTTAAAAGTCTCTAAAGTATCTCACTCCACTCCCACTGCCAGCAGTGCATTCCACATGCCTCCCACTCTTAAAGCCATATTGAGTGAAGGATGCACATCCGGAGTTGGTTGTGGCATTAAATCCTGAATTATTCACATTGTTAGCACATTGTTCTGCTTTGTTCAGTCTTATTCTAACTGGTTATTCCAAAAAAATGTTTTCTGTTGCTGAAATTAATCTTTTTTGCCCTCCTTTTGGCCCATGGCTAAGAGACAAGAAATATGGGTGGGGTCACTGCTGCCAAATTGCTAATCTGTAGCAACCCTCCCCCAACCATTTCCTGGTGAAAAGTAGAAACGAGGACTCATGGTTTAATTCTGCTGTGGTTTAAAACGTACCATCCAGACTGTGTTAAACAGAATGCCTTATTAAGATGAAGAGTCCCAATGCGTCTGCAGCATGCTATCCCTGTCAGTTTTCAAAGAAAAGAAAAATCAATCCACTGGATGCAAGTGTTACTGACAAAGCTGGCATTTATTGTGCATCCATCATTGCCCTCAGAAAATGGTCATACGCTGGATCACTGACTTGTGTTTGTTTTAGGTGTCCCCAGTGGTGTTAGTTTCAAGATTCCGATCCAATGCTGAAGGAAATGATTGCTTTTCTCAGTGTTTTCACATTGATCACACTGCACCTTTTCGTGTTTGATGCTGCTATCAGCAGAAGTGACCATGTAGCTGCTGGATCATTCGTGAACCAATTGGGGTTTTGCATTGTTCTTTAGGAAGGAAAATCTGACATCTTTGCCTGGGCTAGTGTATGCTTGGCTGACTCTTCACTGGCCTCAGATGTGGCCGAACAAAGCTACTCGATTGTACAAACTGTCATGAAGAAGGCATGTACCATCAGGCATCTGGGGATATGAAATGAATTCGAGTCTTGACCAACAATGCTCATCCTGAGAACGGGTCTAAAATATAATGATTTTCAGTTATTGATTTTACCTAAGGATGGTGTAACTCCAAAATTTTCTTTTGTGTTTTGTAATACGTTCTGAATCCTTGCAATAAATTAGTTCTGTTCCTCACAGCCATTGATATTTCTATATCCAGGAAGCAGTTGGACCTGTGTACAATCAATACTATGAAAGCACATGTGAACAATAATGTGTTTTTTCCTCTGCTTTTTCAGTGCTCATACTTCCGGATGATGCTAACTTGTATTTTGCAATGAACAAGAAAGGGAATTACGACTTCATTCTGAGAGACCGGTACGAGTACAGACCATCTAGCATGAAATACCCGGATTCACCAAAAGAAGATCTTCATGTCTATGGAAGTTTTAGCTGTAAGGAACGTACTGTTTCATGCGACTCTATTGGATCTAAAACCTCTGTTCATTATTGAAAACCCTGCAATATATAAATGAATGACCTTGATAGTATTCTACTTCAAATTATTGGACAATTTGGAAAACAGTGACTTGCCTTGGGGCAACCTGGATGACATTAACTTTGGACTTTTGAGTGCAGTGCTTGTCTCTGCTTTTGAAACATCTTGCACATCAGCTATTTTTGATGAAGGCTGGAGAATTGAATCCTGCCACCGGTCTTCCATGAACGTCACATACATGTTTCAATTGATTGGATGAGAAAAACAATCTTTTATGTATCAATCTGGTTGATCAATTGCAATTGAATTTGCCTGGGTTCCTCCACGGTAGTTTGGTAAAAAGCAAACCAGCCATTTGACCAATCGATGGCGGGATGATGAATACTTCAACTGAAGTGTTTGGTTCGCCCTTTAAACTCTTCAGCACACCATTCTTGCCTTCAATATTTTCATTTTTCCAATGGTTTAAACTAATCTGAATATAAACCCATTGACATGCCTGCAACAAAGGGCAACTAAAAGAAATAATAGACTTGTTTATTATTGCCAGTGACATTGCACTTGTTTTAGACTTGAACTGTTTTTACTTAATGTTCAATTTTATAATAATTTTATATTGAATTGTTGTATCGCACGGGCTGTGTGAGTGAGACCAAGTGTGTGAGTGAGACTGTGAGAGAGAGAGTCAGAGGGAGATTGAGTGTGAGAGACTAGGAATTTGTATGTGAATGAGACTGTGCATTTGTGTGAGTGAGACTGTGTGAGTCTATGTGTGAGAGTGAGACTGTGAACTCAGAGTGAGTCAGTACAGTGTGGAGCTGAACGAACCTGACAGGTCAGGCAACATAAGAGGACAGGAGGGTCGACCCTTCCTCACGGCTAGGGAGGGAGAAGGGATCCGGGAAATAAAGAGAGGGAGGAGGGGTGGGGCTGGGGAAAGTTAGGTGCGATGGTGACAGGTGAGTGCAGCTAGGGGTAGTGGGGACTGGTCAGTGGGAAGGGTGGAGCGATAGGTCAGAGAGAAGATGGACAGGTTGTGTCAGGTCAAGGAGGCGGGGATGAGATGGAGGGTTGGACATGGGATGAGGCCGGGGGTGGGGAGATTTTAAAACTGGCGAATTCCATGTTTCGGCCATTGGGCTGCAGGCTCCCGACATGGAATATGAGGTGCTGCTCCTCCAATATGCGGGTGGCATCATTGTGACACCGGAGGAGGCCCAGGATGGAGATGTCACCCAGGGAGTGGGAGGGTGAGTTAAAATGCTTTGTAACCAGGAGGTGTTGCATTTGTTATGAAACGGAAGGCAGGTGCTCCATGAATTGGTCCCCGAGTCTACGCTTGGTTTCACTGATGCTGAGGTCGCCACGTTGGGAGCAACGGATACAGTAGACCAGGTTGTAGGATGTACAGGTGAACCCCAGTTGGACATGGAAAGTTTGCCTTGGATGGAGGTGACGGGGGAGGCTCAGGATCAGGTGTAGCACCTCCTGTAGTTGCAGGGAAAGATGCTGCGGGTGGTGGGGTTAATGGGGAGTGTCGAGGGGATGAGGGTGTCGCAGAGTGTGCGATCGCTACGAAAAGCAGATGAGGGTGGGGAGTTAAATATCTCTTTGCTGTTGGGGTCAGATTGCAGGTGGTGGAAGTGGCGGAGAATGATACGCTGCATGTGGAGGTTGGTGGATTGATATGTGAAGTCCAGGGGGACTCTGTCCTTATTTTTATTGGAGGGAGGTGGTTTGAGGACAGAAGTGTGGGAAATGCAAGAGATGCAGTTGAAGGCGTTTTTGATCAATGGAGGGGTGTAGTTGTGATCCTTGGCATTGGAACAAGCCGTGGATGGATATGTCACCCAGGAAGTGGGAGGGAGAATTAAAATGGTTGGCAACCGGAAGGTGTTGTTATTTGTCGCATACAGAGCACAGATACGCCGTGAATCAGTCCCCGAGTCTGCGCTTGGTCTCACCGTTGCAGAGGGGGTAACATCGGGAGCAGCAGAAACAGTGGACCAGGTTAAAGGATGTACAAGTGAATCCCTGTCAGATTTGGAAAGTTTGCCTTCGGCCTTGGATGGAGGTGAGTGGGGGAAGTGTAGGGCAGGTGTAGCACCTCCTGCGGTTGCGGGGAAAGGTGCCGGGTGTGGTGGGGTTAATGGGGAGTGTGGAGCGGACGACGGAGTCGCGGGCTGAGCAGTCCCTACGAAAGGCAGAAAGGGGTGGGGAGTGAAATATCTCTTAGGTGGTGGGGTCAGATTGTAGCTGTCAGAAGTGGTGGAGAATGGTTTGCTGGATGCAGAGTTTGGTGGG